TCTCAAAAAGCTGAAAGTTCAAGTCCATAGGGCGCCCCATAATCCACCCAACAACTACACAAAAAGGAATCTGCAACAATTAAAACAGAATTTTTTTTAGATATTTATATATGCCAAATCATGATTAATTATCACTATTAACCTGCACAATCATCAACAGGGATGATAATATATACAATTTACAATAAAGAGTGGTATGTATCTCTCTGCAAGAAATTGGACGCCAACTGCCAATCAACTAAAAACAGTACACACACAAAACAATAGTTTTGAAACATAATACACATTTTTTCATAAGAACCATTATCTGGACATTAAAAAGCATCAGATGAGTTCCCACCCCAAACATGGATATCTGCGTTGATGACCCTATTGCCACTCCCAAAGAAATGTCCTATAGAGAAAATCACGGTTAGTGCAACACAAATTAACAAAAACAAGAAGAAGTCAAAAAACTTGAGACTTACAAGCTTGTCCTTCATGGCAAACATAATCGCACTAGCATGCTCTGCAGCATTACCCACAATTGGGAGCAAAATAACACTGATAAATGCAACCGGCAAGTTCCATGCTACAGATGCTCCCTACAAATTAATCATCCAACCTCAAAGCTCATTAATCATAATAGCAACAAGACAGAGTTTCCAAACTTTCACCATACTTCCATCCCATTGAAATCCTTAGTAAAAATAATTTTCCCATGAAAACTCTTGGAAATCAACCACTTGCAATGTAAAAGGCAGGAAAGAGAGGAAAAAAAAGAAGGGGGAAAGAAATGTTTCTTTAGATGTAGTGGTCTAAAGAACCCAAGTACAACATCTTCTATTTACCTCTATGGCATTAACTAAATATTCTGATAGGATTGAGATCCAAGCCGTCATTATTGAAAGCCAAATTATTGATTCCCATTTAGAGATCTCAGGAGCTTCATCATCATCTGAGTTCTCTTCATTCTGACTCACTTCCTGAGTTCATATCATACATACCACCACAAAATTCATTAAGTTAATACTTAATAGAGTAAATGGTGCTAAAAGTCATATTGACAATTTCAAACTCAAAGGATGAACAAATTAAAATATTGAAAATATTAATAACAATGACGATGGTGACAATAATAATAAAAGGAAATTATTTGCACACAAAAAGGAAAGACCCTCAACTAACCTCATTCAGAGGAACATACAGATTCTTTTGACTCTTTAACTGGAAGAAAAGATACATGGCATATGCCACAAGCATGATGCAACTGCTAAATCTTGAAAGTGCCAACTCTGACTTCCCAAAATGCACCTCAGTGTGAGTATAGTGCAAAACAGCTGGAAAAAGTAGGCCCATGACTGCCATTAACAGCAACCCTGAGTTCACAACAGCAGTGGCCTGCCCAGTATACATAAGCTTCAGAGAGAAAGATAAAAGGATTTGAAAATTCTAGAGAAAAGAAAAGAGTTGATATATTTACCTTGTTAAACACCTGTTCCTTCTCATGAAAAACAAGCCCACCACTGAAGAATGCACAACCAAGCACCAGCAGCATGTTTGACAGAATAGAACCTAACAACGACTGCTGAACAACGCGTAACATTCCACGTTTCAGTGCATAAATTGATATAATCAGTTCTGTTGCATTTCCAAAAGTAGCATTTAAAAGACCCCCAACTGCAAGTTCCAATTTGATATATCAAAAATTGAACCTAGAAGGAAAAATAACCATTTTATAAGACATTAACAAGACACTACAACATTAATTATACAAGGATAAATCTCAAATGCTTAGGCACAAGTATGAATGTGACGTTCAATGTAGCACACCACAGTTTTAATGACAAGAGGAAAATACATATATATTATGCATTTGTATGTATATAACTGGATAAATTGTTGATAAAAAAAATAATGAATAAAGAAAACTTGGAGAAATTCGTTATACCATTCCGTTACTACATGAACTTGAATTCCTTCACACCAAACAAAAAAAAGAAAAAAGAAAAAAAAAAGAAAGCAAGGAGGTAAACAGACTACGAAAAAGGCATGCATCTCCACTGTTACATATATAAATTGCAGATATCTATTAAATTGTCGCTGGAGCAATGAGATCAAGATCCTTTCCTCAAAAGAATGCAACCTAGATTATGTTTAATTTCCGCAAGATATATTTTCCATTTTTTTTTTGAACTTTTTTCAGAAATATCAAGCAAAGTCAACTCTCACACAGATATGAAAGAAACCCATATTTAGATTTACAGCTCCAGTATAGAAATTGAATAATTTGATTGAACAAACCAAAAAGGATTAAGAGGTAAGAAGTAACCGATTAGGAATAAAAGAACAAGGAAACCATTACCAGTAGCTCCAGTATAGAACGCCAGCTGCCTATAAGAGCAAAAATAAAGTTCACTTAGCTTCTTAAGAATTCAAGTTACTAGGATACAGCTGGAAAAGAGGGATAAAGGTACTTACTCTGTAGCATAACCTAAACGCTCAGCCAAAGGTGTTATGCCCAACAAGCTCAAGAAAAAGACCCAGCCCTGCAGTTCACATCCACAAATTAGAAACATAATTGGGCAATGCAATGAGCAAAGAAGGGAAAGTTGTAACTCACATTATGGCCAGTTAACTTATATACAAATATCGCTAGAGGTCCAAAGGGCATAAGCAAGTTGAGCTTAGTTGAGAAAACTACAGTCTTTATGCTTCTACATATATTTCTCCACACTTTATCACCGCTAGCTTGTGAACCCCGTGAAAATGAACATTCCCCCACTGCTTGCATAGAATGTGTCTTTTGAGCCTCAGCCCCCGGAGTAAAAAGACTCTCATCCTCAAATTCATGTATTGAACTGTTGTCCAGTGATTCCATCTGTTACAAGAAACACCATGACATTCAAAACCATCACTTAAAGATTATTTCCAGTGCCTATGCAGGAATGACATTACATTATTTAGTTTGAGTTACATTATTTAGGAAAAAAAATGTAACAACGTGACTAAGTTTTAGTTATCAAAGAAAGCAAATAAAACTCACTTCAAGTTGAGACTGGATTTCAAGCCCTTGTAACTTATAATTCATCTTCTTTTATAAGATACGCATTGATTCATCAATACGATGAAAAATGGCATCGATGCATGAAGGTCTTAGTGTACATTCTCAAAGATGCGACAAAAGGTTCAAAATGTTCCAGCCAAGCTTGATGATGTACTGCAAAAAATTGGAATTCAAAGATGAAGCTTACCTCATAAACACAATTAGATTCATAAAGTATCAATAACTCAACACTAAAGGATACGAAAACTCCCACAAAAACCGAAATTTAAAGTTTGTTCCTTCTACTATGAAACTGTAGTCTCAATCCTAATTCTGGTGTTCCGACTCCAAGACTCTATTTAATCCATATAAAGGGTAAAATAAATTCTATCTTTTGCATATTGCTCCCGCTCCAGAACTCAGAATAAACAACAAAAATGCTGAAAATGGAACTGGGTCGGAATCAAAATACGAAATTTTAAGTGGGTTTTGAAAGAACTCCAATTAAATTCACTATACTTGAATGGGAATTGGCGGGTCTTGAATATGAGGGAGCAGTAACCTTAACCTTGCCAATCTCAAACAATCTCAGCAGCAGGAAGCAACAAAGTGAATGAACAAACAGTGAAAGAAAGGAAAACAAAACACAAAAATTGAATGTATCACGTACTTGATTGTTGCTATTATTATTAGCAAAGAAATAGAATTTCTGAGTCTATGCCTTTCTTCTTTCTTTATTGTTTGTTGGGTTTTCTTGTCATTCTGAGGACCTGTTGGAAGATTGGATCTTGCTTCTCTTCTCTTGCATTCACCAGACAGTTTCGTAAAGCATAACTTTGGTTGATACGTCAACGCACCGTCTCTGCAAGCGCGTTCAATAAAATATTCAATTGGCGTAGGCAAACGACATGTCGTGTTTGTATCTACAGTTAAGTTGTTAAACGATAGGCGGTAATAGGTTATGACACTATTCCGTGCCTTCGCTTCACCCTATCTCCATCTGTTTGATTTATAAATTTGTATTATATATAAATATAGGTTAAGATAAAAATAAATAAATAAAATCTTTTTCAGGGATCTTTAAAGTTTTTATTAATATTTAAGTTAATAAGTGCAATGCCGTATAGTCCAATAAAAAGGGGATCTTAATTTATAAACTAGTGCTTTCAAATTCGAATCTCTTGATATCTTGATAGTGTATGTGAAGACACTATTAATGATAATTCTTGTAGAGCGTTTAGATATTTAGAACCACAAGATTTATCTTCTTCCTCTCTACATATCGAGTGAAGAAAATTGAACTTAGAACCTTAATTTCTTTTTTTTCTTTTTTTTTTCTTTTTCAACTTAAAATTTCAATTTCAGAGATAACCACTTGAACAATAAACTCTTCCCTTATTTGGTTTACTTTAGATAAAAATTTGTAAGCTTTTTAAAATTTTAGGCCTACGGTTTTGTTAGGATTTTTTTACCCAACCTAACTTTATGAGTCCGATCCATTTTACTTGTTTTAGTATATGATGAGAGTCGGATGCTATAAATCAATATTATGGGGCATTTAATTTTTTATTTTATAGAAAATTAGATTTTTTTTTTTCCTGATTTTCCTCCACCACTTACATTCCCTTTTATTTTTTAATACTTTTATTATGAAATCCAATTTTTCTATAACATCCAAAATTTCAACAAGTATAAGCATAAGTGGAAAAAAAAAATAGGAACATATAATTTTCAATAAGTTTCAACAAACAAAAAAGAAGTAAAAAAATTAATTCCCTTTTTTTTTATTTTAATAAAAATAATATTATACTTTAATACTCTAGCCAAAACCTACTTTGACTAAATCCATGTCCTGAAATTAGAGGATTTTACAGATACCTTGAACCATCTTATAATTGGCCATATTCTATGTAGTATAGGGTTCATTTTTCCAATCAGTTTTGTGGGGTGTTCATTTCCAATCATCCCATGAAAATTGTTAATCATTCCATTTATTATTACTCAAACACTGAGAATATATCTTATTGAATTTGGAGCAACTTCTACAGGGACAAAGAAGACCAACACACAGCTATCTACACAACTAATAAGTTCTAGCCTCTACTGGTGATCTTGATGTCTTGCTCATTCCCATGCTGCAAGAACCCAGCCCAATCTTTTCCTTGTTCCTTCAATCTCTCGGCCAGACCACCACCAAATCCCAAAAGACTTGTGCCTCCAAGCTCCTGAAAGATCCACCCCAAAGTAGACATGCCTGTGAGGGCCATGGCTCCAGCCACAGCAAATCCAACCACAGCTCCCACAAACACAAACCCAGCAAAAAACAGCAGAGGGCTGAAGATCAACAGAAGCGGTGAGCTCAAAACCAGAAGCGTCACTGAGGCCAAGAAACTGAAACCCATCAAGAACACAAGCGACCCTCCAATTGCCAAGCCTCCCATGGCTGCCAAGACCACCTTGGTGCCTGAGGCCTGCTGCTTCCCATGAACTTCCATTGGGTTTTGCTTTTTCTTTTTCTTTTTGCTCCTTTGTTGTGATCTTTTTGGCTGTGTGGTTTTGAAATTGCACATGAAAGTGTGGTTTTATATTTGGTGCATGGAGGTTTTGGTTACGTGTTGGTTTCATTTCTGATGTTATGTGGCAACTGTTGGAGTTCATGTGGGACAGGTGGCAACGGGTACTGTGACACGTAGGTTGCTGCTGCATGTGAAATGGATCATTCTTGTTGATAGGTCTGTTCTATAATTTGTTTGAGAAGGACCCATCAATTCGAGTCAACAAAGTCAAAGCCCCTGCAACAATTACACAAAGACATAGTAATTAATTAAGACACTTTTAGCATCAATTTTTGTGGTTAACTGTAATCAACTGCTAAATCATTTTCACTGATTAATTTTATCAGGAAATAGTAGCTCCAATCAAATATCAAACGGCCGGATATGCAGGATAAGGTTTAGAAGTGTAAGCATACGTCCATATAGCCGCGCGGCTATACTATTTAAATATTCCAATATATTCCGAGAGTATAGCCGTACGGCTGTACTTTTAAATATTCGAATACATTTAGAGAGTATAACCGAACGGCTGTAAATATTGTAGCCGCTCGGCTGTACTGTTTAAATGCACAAATACATTTTTAATATTCGAATATATTCGAGGAGTATAGCCGAACGGCTATACAATTTAAACATTCTATTAAAAATTCAGAAGTGTATCATTTTTAGGAATTTTTGGGTTGTGCTGCTTCATCAAGCCACCCCATTACAAAAGTTTTCAAACCCTAGAAGAAAAATAGAAAGGGAAAGGAAGCCCAGGAAATGTGTACACCGTGTTAAAAGGAATAAACACCACCATCACCCATCTGAATATGTTACAAACACAACTTCTTCACTTCTACCGCCATCACCAATAACATCAATGATAATAATAGAGGGAAAGAATATATTCTCGAAAGAGGAATACCTAAAATAAGTCTGCTATTCAATTTACTGCTAAACTGGTATGACATCATTCTTTGATACATCATCACATCTCAAAACAAGACCCTCAAGACTAGCTGGAAAGATACATTTGGCCCAATTGGAAGATGAGAGTGATGGTGAGGGTCCTTGGATGCGCATAAAGCAATGCCACTCAAACCTGCAAAACTTATCGGTGGACTCTATCTAGTCTTTTGTTTTTGGAATGGTTCCTTCGATTTTCTTTAACAGTTAAGCTGGTCAACTTGCATCACTCCAACATAATAATAATAATTTGATTGGTAATAAGGAGATGGCTCGAAAGTTATTGGTAATATAGTTAGATCCTGCTTGTTTGTGTCTGTATGTGTATGTGGGGTGGGGGTTCCTTTATGTATACAATATATTCATATTGTCACAGATATGTGCAACAGAAAAAAAGAAAGAAGTGAATTATATGATCATTAAGATTGGGTTGGGTTGGGTTGGGGGAACAAAGAGAAAAAGGAACCTTTGGCTCATAAATAAATGGAAACTTGCATTTCTCTCCCAATTTTGATGAATACAACTATAAGCCATGCAGGCAACAATGGCAGACTGCATCTCTTCCAATTTTAATTAATACAACTACAAGCCATGCAGGCATAATGGCAGACTGCATTTCTCTCCCAGTGTAATCAACACAACTACAAGCTACAACCATTTTCTTCTACAGAAGCTCCTAACAGAACACTCATACTACAACAACTCATAATTCATACATATGATCTTTAAAACTCAATGGTTATGTTCCAAAGGTGCAATTCTTTCTCTGGCACTCTCAAAGCAATGCTGACCAAACCAGATTTGTCTTCATATCCAAACTCTACTTCCTCTGAATGAACTGTTATCTTCTTGGGTCGAGCTGATGCATAGGCTCCAAAAACGCCAGATCCGCAAACTTTCAGAACAACTGCTGTACTTGTGTTCGATTCAAACTGTTTTATGGCTCCCCCAGAATTGAACATCTTGATTAGGCCTATGGGAGCAAATTTTACACCACCACTGGACAATTCCTTAACAGGAACCACTGTGAAAACTTCGTACTCTCGGGATTTTAGCATTATCGGCATGGATGCATCCTTGGGAAGATAGGACACCTCTCCTGCAATTTATATCAATGAATTTGGTTAGTTTACTTGAGAACTATATGGTCTACTAATAAAACATGCAGTACAAGAGCCAAATCAAAATGCTAAACATACCACCAAGATGAGAAAATATGACAGCATCCCCAGACCATTTATCATCTGCAACCTTAGGCAGATAAGCAACATCTTTAGCCCTAATAACCCCAGTCATTGTTCCCGGCTCTAGGTCATGGATGAGGTTTGTCTTCCCAACCTTACACCACCCAGCTCCCTGGCAATTGAAGACCCCCACAACTCCAGTACAATCGTTCAGATTCCATATCTTCAGAAGACTACAATACCAAGATTTAAATCAGAAAAAAAGGCATTGTTTTGAAAAAACGAAACCACAAAAAAATGGTGATAAGAATCAACGGACAAAATATTTTTCGAACCTTTTCCCATCCCGGGCAGGATCAGAAAATAAGCAATCCCTTGTTGGTCTTCCTGGAAGTTTAGCCCTCAAGATAGAGCCATCAGGAAGTACGAGCTTCTTCAGAAGATCGAAGTCATGCTGCCCAGGCTTGTCACTGCATCACATATAGATACACCATTATTAATTGCCTTTGTCTGGTTGATCATTTTCACATCAGAAACTGGCATATTTTCATAACCGAAGACCCTACCTAACATAAATTGCACATCCTCCGACTGCACGAGCTGCTCCATGATATTCAGCCATCGGGTGCAGGCTCTAACATTCGGAACAATTCCAAAATAAGAATCCGAAAATGCAAAAATGAAAAGAACTATAAGTGAATACTTGAATTTCAAACTAACAGATTAGAGTTTGCTTGCTTACATGAAACATATCCCAATCTGGCTGCATAAACTCCCCGAGGAAAACAGTGTTATAAGCAACTGATGCAATATGAATTGTGTGGGATGCTGGATCTCTAGGCCAGAAATCATCTGATGCCCTTATAACAGCTGTCCGCTTCACACTGAAAAATTTAAGGCCATACCATATCATTAAAGTTAATAATTCACAGGATAGAACAAGAGCTACTATTGAACAGACAGATCTGACACAAATTTTTACCTGTATAAACCATCTGTGTTGTGACTCATACAAGAAATGATACCATTGTCAGGAAAGTTTCTAGCAATAGATGCTTCTAATGCTTGATGGTATTTTCTTGAAAGTTTCACCCTTCCACCATGGCCTGCCCCTAGAGTTTCAAGAATGTTCTGAACATCAACTTTGACTCCATCAATACCGGCTGATGCGAGATAAGAATGCAGTTCATCATAAAAGTTGAAAACTTTCTCAGGATTCACAAGGCCAAGCCCATTTGTGGTGATACTTTTCAAGGCATCACAATGCTCATTAGACTCAATTCCTGGAGATGAAATAGGGTAGGACAACTTGGAATCGTAGTGTTTCATTTCAGTAGCACCAGGTCTAACTCCACCCCAGTATCCAGTTATAGCATGCCACACATAAGCATACCTGAAAATTTGAGAAACAAACAGAATTAATCCCTAATCAACTAAATGATTATCATAGCCAAAGTCAGAAAATTCAAATATTATGACTTACTTCAAAGCGTGTTTTTCTTTAATTTCAGTAACAATGTGGCGAAGGCCCAAAGCAGGATCCTCTACTCTGTGACCCTCTTTACCATCCTTCTGAAATTTGTGGTTTTCTTTTATGTTTGTTAACCTGTTTGCAAAGCTGAAAAACAAGAAAATAACAAACGTAATTATGTAAGAAAACCCATAAGCCAATCAACACATAAAGGTGGAAAAACATCAAAATGATAGTACTGTGGACCAAAGTGCTCACTTTGCTGCGTTATCAGCTTCATATCCAATACCAGAGGAATCCATGCCGACTGACTGCCATCCGTCATCAATGATAACAAACTTTGGAGGTACTCCACCATCTTCTAGGCTGCAAAAAGACAAAACAGTTGTGACCGTCTGCATAATGCTAACATCGAGCATTGAAGATACTGTCCACAATGAGAAAATCAGTACCTCTGTAATCCTTGCTTCAGGCCCTCTGAAGTCACATCAGTGTAGAAAGCATCCCATGTGCACCAACCAAACCAGTTCAACATGTCTGGCATCTGTAAAATAAAGCATAAGTAATTTAGAAATGATCAAACAAATAAATATATTCACTTTCTTTCTGGAAAAAAAGAAAAGACAAATCAATCCACAATTTAAAGAACTGAGGAAAAAAAATCAAATTACCTTCTTCCTCTCGCGATGAGAAAATGTCTGTAAATGTTTTTCCACAGTCCTGTGTATGGTTTAAAATAAAACTAAGTCAACTGAAAACTCCTTCACACATAAATGGTATTAAGAAAACTCCTGTGACAGTCCCAATTCAATATCCTTGTCCTAAAAATGGTTCTATTGGAAATTTCCATTTTTTGTTTCCTTCTTAAAATTATAAACTGAAGATAAAGATAACTAGAATCTTAAATTTCAACCAAAATTTAAATTGGCCACTGTCACATTAAGACCATGAGCTGAAATAACAGCTTGAACTTACTTCACAGAATCTGTGATGACATCAAATGGGTCCGATCCGGCTCCAACAAAAACCAAATGATTACCCTCAAACCCATCAACAGCAGGATCTCCTACAAAACCCAGAATTTTCATAATCTCAGAACCAACCAAAAATGCTTCTAAAAGAACAAAAAGATTTTGAACCAACCAAAAATTCAAAATCTTTCTCCTTTTCACTTACCACTTTCTAGGCAGATTTCAATCTCATTAAGTTCATTCCCTTGAAGAACAGCCCTGAAGTCCCCTTCAAGAATTGGTAGGAAAACTGTATAAACTGCAGATTGATCCACCCCATCTTTACTTCCTTCACCAAAATCAGAACCCTCCTTTGTCTCAGCAATCAAAAACTGAGTCTCAAAGGGAACATCTTGGCCGCTTGTGCCCATCCTCTGCGTCATCCACCATAGTTTAAACCGAAAAACACACATAAAACG